GCCATCCAGTCTGACCCCCTGAATAACAGTCTGACCCTCACCCAAAAATCCCTGCGTTGAGACCAGAGCATCTGGCTGAGCTACAGGGTGGAGATTAGAGACCTACAAGGGGGGACTTAGAGATGTTGGGCGGGGAGGCTGACTCCAGGAGATGACACGGGCGTGATCTCAGGACTCCTGGGCTCTGTCCCTGACTTCGTTAGCGAGACGCCCTGCGAAGATGATTCCCCTGCTCAGTTTCCCAGCGAGAGGGAAGCAGGTGAGAGCTACTGGAAAGCAGTCAGAGGAGTGTCTCTTACTAAAGCGGACAGTTGGCAAAGCCCCCACTGACACCCTCTAGCAGAGCACTGACCTTTTGTTTCCTCTTGTATGGCATGCTGCAAATTCTCGCAGCTGCCAGGGCTCAGTGGGGTGGAAGACAGACAGACAGACCCTAAACTCCAACGCGCTCGCCTTTCAACTACGCAGCACCTTGGTTTTCTCACGCTTCCCTTCCACACAGAGCAACAGCAAAAAGGCAGCTGGCAGCAGGGACGGAAGTGACTTCGATCCTTTTCAATGTATGTAACTAACAACTTCATTTACCCAGGTTCGCCTGCAGAGACTCCAATTACTACGAATTACCAGGGCTGTTATGAGACCATTTATCAAAACTTCCAGAAACATTTGCATGAGAACGGGCCTCATGCATCCATGTCTATTGCTGTCACCAAGACTAAGCACGGCTATTTATAACCATCCACTAGCAGTAACACATTCCCCCCCCACAAGCGTCTTAGCCGGTGCTCACGTCTCTGAGGTCTTTACCAGCCTGGGGAGGGCTGGGTCTGGACTCTAGCCATGGGACCCTATTCCGCGGTCTGGGACAGAGGGGGCCAATGTCCACAGCAAGACTGGGAATCAGAACTTCTAAGTGGATGAGTCTAGCACAGGGCCTAATGGTTAGAGCGGGTAGCGTGAGAGCCAGGGGGACCCCAGGCAGTGTTCCCTGCAAGCTGTGCACTTGTGCCCCGCTCAGCAGAAATTCAGGTGCCACCTACAGCTGGGCTTTGTTTCTACTGACGATGCACAGACCTGGGTGCACACAAACATGATTCTGCACATGGGTGGGAGAAGATCAGGGGACCAGGGCTCCTGCTGCCGGCTGGATTCGGATCCACAAACTCTCCCGTGGGGGCCTGAGGCCTTGGCCCTCTCCTGGCAGCCAGCAGGAGCTG